GGAGTCTGTTGACTATGTCCCTCCACTCTCTCCTTGCCCGTAGTGTTTCTTCGGAGAAGTCTGATGTCAGCCTGATTGGTTTTCCTTTGAATGTTATCTGTTTCTTCCCTCTTGCCAGCTTCATTATTTTTTCCTTGTCCTGGATTCTTGGGAGCTTTACTATTATGTGTCTTGCTTTATTTTTCCTTTCGTCGTGGAAGTTTGGTGTTCTTCTTGCTTCTTGTATATCAATTTTCAGCTCCTTCTTCACATTTGGGAAGTTCTCTTCAATTATCTCTTTGAATATTTTCTCTGTTCCTACATCTCTCTCCTCTCCTTCTGGTATTCCTATAACTCTTATATTTCCTTTCCTCATGGAGTCAGATAGTTCCCGAAGTCTTTCTTCGTTCTTTTTCCTTCGTACTTCTCTTTCCTTTTCTGTTTTGGTTCTTTTTATTTCTGTGTCTTCAAGATTACTTATTCGTTCTTCCATTTCATCCATTCTGCTTTCATTGCTTTTCCCAGAATTCTTTAGTTCTTCCATTAATTCTTTGATCTCCTGCATTTCTTTTACTTCCCTCTTTAGGGACTCAATTTCTTTCTTCTGACCATTGTTTTCCCTCTCTAGGGACTCAATTGCATTCTTCTGATCGTTGATTATTTTTCCCTTATCATTGTTTTCCTTTATGACTTCTGTCAGTTTTTTAATCACGGCAATTTTAAATTCTCTTTCTGGAAGGCTCAGAAATTCTTCCAAGTTATTGTCTTTGCAATCTGGGGGCTGGCTTTCTTTTTGTGGTGTGCTTTTTCTCTGGAGAGTTGCTAGGTTGCGTGTGGTTCTTCTCCTCCCTACTGTCTGTTTTCTAATTTGCCGTATGCGTTGGGACACTGTGTTGTTGGGACTGGCCGGCATCTTGGGTGGGCTTCTCTGTTCCCCTCTGGTTCTTCCAGGAGTCATCTGTCAGTTTCAAGCAGCCTTTAATGGAGAAAGGTCCCTGTTCTAAAATGCCGATGTGGGGACACACTCCCCTGTGCGCCTGGTCTGCCCCGGCGGTGGGTTCCTGCTCCCCTCTGGGCTTGGACTGCAGGCCAGAGGGGGTCTGGCGTGGGCGAACTTCCCCCGCTCACCTCTGGCTCCGCAGGTTCGATCCCTGGCCACCAGCGAGGGTCTCACATGGCGCCACAGAACTCTCCTGTTGTGCCCGCTGCTCCCCTCAGCAATGTATTTCGCCACTCTGTCTATTCTGTTCTCTGCTCTGGCTCTGGTGAATTCTCTTACCCCCCCCCACACTTCTGACTGTACCCAGGGCTTGTATAAATAAATAAATAAATAAATCGTTTTTTAAAAAAAGCAAATAACAATTACATCTGCCAAGTTGCTCAGAATAGAAAGTTTGGCAGCATCTTTAATTTCTGTCATTCCCTCACTTTCTATATCCATCCAAATCAGCCCTATTACCTACATCCTAAGCAAAGTACCACTCTGACCCACTCCTCTCTCTTTGTCTACTGCAAGTTTCTCGGTTGTTTTCCCTGTTGCATTCTTGTTCTCCTACAATCTAGTTTCCCCAATGCAAAGAGATTTTTCTCAAACACAAATTATTCAATTCACTCCACTCACCAACACCTCTCTCCATTTTCACAATTAGCATGAAGTTCAGGCCATCACCCTGAATTAGGAAGTTCTGAGTGACTAGTTTCTGTGAATATCTTTGACCTTGTCTCACAATTCCTTCTCCTTTGTCCACATGAAACACTGACCTCCTTTTTCTTACTGCAGGGTGATTCTGTCATTTCTGCCTCTCTGTGATCCCCTCTGCAATTGTGCTTTCTCCCAAACTTTCCTGTATGCATCCTGGTCTGTAAATAGAGTTCATATTGTCATTTATTGAAGTCTTATAATTTCCATTAAAGAATAATGTTTTCATAGCTTTACAGATACATACATTTTATTAAAAATATTCTTAAGGGTTTCATATTTTGATGTTATCCTAAGTGGCATTGAAAATTCAATTGGTTTGTTTCGATCCTTTGTACAGATCCTATCACCATATGTTATTTCTCTGTTGGATATTTTAAAACTTATTTATATTGCTTTTATTCCCTGCCACTGAAAAGTCAGTTTTATCACAACAATCTTGCTATATCTTGATCACTAGAACACTATCAATTCTACAAAAGTACAGTGTAGTTTCTCAATAATTAGTCATTGTTTCTTTTCAGTGAATATCATATATAGATAACCTTGGAAAAAGTAATTAACCTCTCTAAATCTCCTTCCTCAGATATTAATATATTTGTGAGTGCACATATTGATATATGTAATATACATAGAATTAAAACAATGATACTTATACTTCCTGATATTTATCACTATTAAATCACTTTATTTTGGCTAAAGTGTTAAAAGCAACCTAGAAATCAAAGTGTTCTGAATTTCCTAACATTTTTGTTTAGTTTTTAAGCACATTGGTATTGTTATGACCTATTGGATTTGTTAGTATATTCCTTCTCAAAGGAACTTTTGTGCATATAGTATTATTATTTAATGTTATTTTTCTACTAAACTAGACTCCATGACACAATTATAGCCCCCCCCAAAAAAAAGACAGGCTGAAAAAGAATCCTGAAATTACCTCTTGAAAATTTTAGAATTTAAACCTTACTAGTTCATTGCAACAGTAGTAACTGTGCCTCCTTTTTTTTTTTAATTTTTTAAAGATGTATTTTATTTATACAAGCACCGGGGTACAGGCCAGATGCGCGGGAGGGTGAGAAGATTCACCAGAGACAGAGCCGGGAACAGAACAGGCAGACTGACTGAAATCCACTGCTGAGGGGAGCAGCGGGCGCGGCAGGAGGGGTCTGCGCGCCACGTGGGCCCCTCGCGGGCGCGGCAAAGGCTGTGGGCAGATCCCCAGAGCTCGCCCAACCGCCTGCGCCCCGTTTGCTGTTCTCTCCACAGTGTGAGGCGACAGTAAAGCATCTGCACAAGGCAGGGCCAGGATGGGGACGCCTGGAAAAGCCAAAACCCAGGACTGGATTGCTCAGGACAAATGAAAAGGCCTCTCAGGCATTCCAAGGGTTGTCGTTAAGCGGCAGCTTTTTCGTTAAGGCTGAGAAACCGCTGGGGGTTCCCTCTGCCAATGGCTGTGGCCTCTGGCTCTGATGCCACAAAGAGCCATTGTGACGCACCGGCACCACCTACATCAGGCCCGCCCGGACTGCGCCTGTGTCCTCAGGAGCCGGGAAGCTTTGGACAGTGACCTGTGCACTCCGGACCACGACAGAGAGAGTGAGAGCCTGTTTTGGGGTATTTGGTTTTCTTTGGGTTTATTTATTGGTTTATTTATTTAATTATTTGTTTCGGCTATTTATTTTAGTTATTTTATTTTTCTTTCTTTGTTTTTTTCCTTATTTTCCTTGATTTTTTTTGTATTTGCTTATAGTTTTTTTTTCTACTTTTTCTTTTTCCTTTTATTTCTTTGTTTTTTATTTTCCTTTATTGTTTTGTTATTGGCTTTTATTTTTTTTTCTTTATTTTTTTACTTCAGTTTTCTGTTTTTTGGTTGTTATTTTTCGAGTGGTCTCCCCCATTTTCCCTTCTGTTCTTGTTTCGTTATTTGTTCTTTCTTCCCCTTTGTCGTTTCTCTGGGTTTTTATTTTGGTTTGTTTGTTTGTTTGTTTTTTCAGGTTTTAGTTTCTAATTGTTGCTCGCTCTGTTGTTTGTTCTATTGGTCTTTGTTGTTCTGCTTTATTCTTAAATTTAGTGGTTGGTTTTAATTAGTTTGTTTTTATTCATATTTTTACATTTACATCTCATTTGTCATTTTTTGTTTGTGTTGTTTCAATTATTTGTAGTGTAGTTAGTATTGCTAGTAAGCTGAGTGAGGTTAGTATTGTTGGTAGAGTAGAGTTAGCATTCTTAGTATTTAGTGAGGTTAGTGAATACTTTTTGAGTACTATTAGTACTAGATTAATAGTACATTTGTTAATATCGTAGGAGAGTCAGCTGTCAGCGGAGGTAGCGCAAGGGCTGGGAGCACAGTCAGGGCTGGCGAGGGTAGTCAGCGTAGTCAAGTGCACAGGCGCTATGTCCCAGGGACTTCAAGGGCAAAGCTACCTGGCGCTGCGGGAGCTGGGGCGGGGCTCCCACGCCAAGGTGACGCTGGCGGTGCACGTGCTCACGGGCACGAAGGTGCTCATCAGGGGCGTCCGCAAGTCCGAGCTGCCCGACCTCCGCCTCCTGGCCCGCGAGATGGGGTGCATGAAGGCCCTTCACCACCCGAACATCGTGGAGCTCTTCCAGGTGGTGGACACCGGGCCCGAGCTGCAGCTCGTCATAGAGTACGTGCAGGGGGAGGACCTGCAGGACTTCCTGGACAGGCGTGGGTGCCTGGACGAGAGCGAGGCCCGCCCGCTCTTTTTTTTTTTTTTTTTTAATAGAGGCATGCTTTATTTATTTGTTTGCTGGTTTGTTTGTTTTTTGTTTTGTTTTGTTTATACATGCACTGGGTACAGTCAGAAGCGCGGGAGGGTGAGAGAATTCACCAGAGCGGGGAGCAGAGCAGGCAGAAGGACCGAAGTACACTGCTGAGGGGAGCAGCGGGCGGCAGGAGAGGTCTGCGCGCCATGTGGGACCCTCCTCTGGTGGCCGGGGAGCAGCCGGGGATCGAACCGGCACCGCAGAGGCCGCGGGCAGCTTTGCAACCCAGCTCTCAACCGCTGCGCCACCGGGGAGGCCCCCGCCCGCTCTTTCAGCAGATCCTCGCGGCCCTCAACCACTGCCATGCCAAAGGCATCGCGCACAGGGATGTGAGGCCCAAGAACATTCTGCTGACCCGAGAGGGAAAAGTCAAGCTGGCGGACTTTGGGCTCAGCGTCCAGGCCTTCAACCGGGCGCTGAGCACGTGCTGCTGTCGCCCAGAATACAGGGCCCCCGAGGTCTACCTTGGCCAGCGCTACAACGGCCCCAAGGTGGACGTGTGGAGCCTGGGTGTCATTCTCTACAGAATGCTGACCGGCAAACTGCCCTTCAGGGCACCCCACCTCCCGGCGGTCAGGGTGCGCGTCCTGAGCGCGTACCTCCAGCTGCCCGACTACCTCACGGAGCAGTGCCAGGACCTGCTGGCCAAAATGCTGGAAAAGGACCACTGGAGGCGCCGCCCCCTGGAGTGCATCCAGCAGCACCCCTGGGTAGCAGAAACGAGCGAGGGACTCCTGCCCTTCAGCGAGCCGTGGCTAAGCCCCCAGGACCCGGCCATAATCAAAGCTATGGAGCGCCTGGGCTACGAGAGGCAGGAAATTCGGGAGGCCATTGACGCTGACAAGTACGACGAGGTCATGGCCACCTACCTGCTCCTCCGCTCCAGGAAGCAGGCACTGCAGCTCCAGTGAGCACAGCTCCAAGGAGAACCAGGCCAGCAATGATGCCCGAAGTAGGGATGAAGGACTGAGGAGGGGGCACTGGAAGGGAAGGGAAGATCATACCCTGAGCCCCAGACCTTATCCGGACCCTCTGAAGGGCTCCAGAAGGGCTCCTGATGGCCCTGAGAACAGCCTCAGTGCCCACATCCTCCTCCTCACCCCATCTCAGGACTTGGGGCTCCAGCAGCCCCTCATGCTGCAAATGGCACGTGTATCTCTGCTCCTCTCCAAAAGGCACCACCAGAGCCGCCCACTTCTGGAAGGTTCCGTCTCCCCCAGGCCTGGTGTCCACCAGCTCCATCTCCTGGGTCAGGTCCTCCCCATCTCGCTGCCAGGTCAGGGTGATGTCCGCTGGGTAGAAGTCCAGAGCCCAGCACCTCAGGGTGACCTCATGCTCAGAGGTGGGGTGGTGGGTCATGCGTGTCTTTGGGGGATCTGAGGTGGTAAATCAGAAAACTCACTTTGTGTTTCCTCCATGGACACTGAAGAATCCTCATGAGACCATCCTCACAATAGACAAGACAACTGGTGTGGCAGGAAGAAGCATAAAATGTAAAAAAGAGGCTAATCTGGGGGGGATGTGTGAGATTCTCCTATTCCTTAGAAAGTCCTAGAATGAGGACTTCATCCTACCCAGGGTAGGATGAAGCAGAGGGAGTGGAACACAGACTTTTTATTCCTGACCTGGGTGGAAGGTGAATGAACAGAAAAGCAGGAATCACATAACTGAAAATGTTCTCAGACCAGAAACAAGACTGAGAGAGAAACTCGTGGTTCTCAAACAGGCCCCTGGTCAAAAGGACCCGGTGACATGTGATGTCAGGGACTGTCTGTCTTTCTCAGGAGAGACTGGATCCCTTCACTGTCCTTCAGGAGAAGCAGGAGTCTCTGGGAGTCTCTCTAGGGCAGAACATGAAACCCAGGGAGTCCCCCCCTCGGACTAGAGAGAGGACTCATTTCCCGCAGTGACTCCAGGCAGGGGAGGACTGGGAGGCCTCCAGGCCCCTCTTACCCGTGCGCTGCGGAGTCTCCTTCCCGTACTCCAGGAATGTGCACAGCCACCTCAAGCACTTGCCCTTCTCATAGTTCCTGAATTTCTCTGCCTCACCTGGGTCTCCCACTGGCGCGGGTGATCTGAGCGGCCGTGTCCGCCGCGGTCCAGGAGCGCAGGTCCCCGTTCAGGGCCAGGTAATCGGCGCCGTGGTAGGCGAACTGACTGTACGCGCGGAGGAGGAACCCGTCGGGCCCCATGTCGCTGCCACACATCCTCTGGAGGGTGTGAGAGCCTGTCCAGAATGAAATGGGGTGAAAGTCCCGCGGGCTGTTCCCGGGCAGGCTGCAGAGAAGCCTGGAGGGGGAGACCCTGAGCGACCCCCCGTCCGTGGGGATGGGGGTGCTGACCCGGCCCGCACCCGCGCCAGCTCACCGCTCTCGCTCTGGTTGTAGAGGCCGCGCAGGGAGTCCAGCTGCGCGCGGTACCACAGTGTGCTGTCCCTTAGGATCCGCGTCTCCTCGTCCCAGTCCTCCTGCTCCACCTGCTCCGCCTGCTCCGCCCAGGGCGCCCGGGGCTCTGCGCTCTGACCTGGGGAGTCGCTGTCGAACCGCGCGAACTGCGTGTCGTCCGTCCATGTAGCCCACGATAATGAAGCGGGGCTCCCCGAGCCGGACCGGGACATCGCAGTGTGGAAAAACCTCATGGAGTGGGGGCCTGGGGGCGGGAGGGGAGACCAGGGCTATTCTTCTCCCCTTCGGGGGCTCGAGTCCCAGGGGGGCGCCCACGAGACAGAAAGTGGTGAAAGACGAGTGAGACCGAAAAGCGGCTGCGGGACGAAAATAGCCGAGACTCGGGGGGCAAAAGGAGGCTGGGGTCTCGGGGGACGGAAAGGGCTAGGACAGGGCTGGGCCGACGTGGGGGACAACTAGGGCGGCGGCGAGGTCGCGCCTTCCCACGTCCCGCCCACGCCCTCGCTCCCGCCTCTGGTAGCGCCCTGTCCCCTCCGACCCGCACTCACCCGCCCGGGTCTCCCTCGGGGCCGCGGCCACCGCGAGCAGGAGCAGGAGGCTGTGCCCCGCATCCCCAGGACGCGCCTCCACCCGGGCTGGGGAGACGGAGTCCCGGCGGGTGGGGAGGGCTTTGGAACAGGAGCCGCGGGGCTGCTGATTGGCTGCTCTGGAGACCTCCAGGCAATGGGGAGTGAGACCTGGGGTGAGTCACCAGTATCCAGGAAGGAGGACAAGCCCAGGCTGTGAGAAATGAAACTGGGGAGATGAGGAAGCCCCAACAGTCACCTTCCAGCCCCAGACAGCGCCCTGGGGACTGAGACCTTGAGAACCACCCCTCCACCCTCCACCCCCCGCCCAGACATGCACGAAGACTTTGTCACACTGTGCCTCCCTGAATCCAGGCCCAAAATTGGGTCAGCGTTTCTCAATTTTTTTTTCTTTCTCTGCAGTCTCACAAATATTACGGATCCCATGTATAACTTTTTTTTTTAAAGATTCGTTCATTTATTTATACAAGCACTGGGTACAGTCAGAAGTGCGGGAGGATGAGAGAATTCACCAGAGCCAGAGCGGGGAGCAGAGCAGGCAGAAGGACCGAAGTACACTGCTGAGGGGAGTGGTCTGCGCCCCATGTGGGACCCTCCTCTGGTGGCCAGGGAGCAGCCAGGGATCGAATTGGCTCTTCAGAGGCTGCGGGCAGCTTTGCAACCCAGTGCTCAACCGCTGCGCCACCAGGGAGGCCCTCCCATGTAAATTTTTTATGTGGGTTATAGCTTTAAATATTTACTTTACTAGAATAAAACCTTTCAAAATGATGTTATTACTTCTTTACTTTAGAATATTGATAACCAATGTATGCTAACAAAGCATTTTGTAAAGATTTATTTACCTATGCCTAGAAGAGCTGGGGTGCAGGCCAGAGATGCTTGGGGTGAGAGGATTTACCAGAGACGGAGGGGGAGCACATCAGGCAGATGTACTGAAACACACTGCTGAGGGAGCAGCGGGCTAGACAGGAGAGGTCTGCTGCACTATGTGGGGTATCTCCCTCGCCAGGGATTGAACTCACGCTGCAGTGCCTGCAGGTAGCTTCATAGGTTGCCTCTTAACCTTTGCACCACCAGGGAGGCCCTAACAAAGCATTTTTAAGAAAATAACTTTCTGTAAATATAAGGATAATTAAAAGAGGGGAACTTTCACATTTATATTTATGCAAGTGTCATTTTTGTCTCATTAGAAGATCTTTTATTTTCATAGTTTCTTCTACATTTAATGTTTTGTTTGAAATCTATGAAAAAATATACAATCTCATGGAAATATGTAGGGATAGTATTTTAATAACCTCTTCAGATTATGGATATTCAACTTTGTTACAACTTTCATACTAAATCATAACTTATAAGTAATATTTTCTCAAAGGTTATTTGCAAAGTGAAACCTGAAACAATGTCATTGAATATTTCCTATTGTTATATTAACTCCATACATTCTCTTGTATATTAACGGATCTTGTACAATTGTATGATTTTTTTTTAAAAGTTACCTATTGTTTCACTATGTGTATATAGATATACAGTGTTAATTACACCGGGGTCAAGTTATCTAAAATCACATGCTTTGTTTTTTACCACAGATCCCAAAAGAAAAATTAGTCTACATACTGTAAGTTGTCAAGTATATAATAACAGGACTCAATTTTCCATAATTTTGGTTTTCTCTGGGAGTTTACATTTTATCAAGGCAACAAATGCCATCAGTTGATTTTTTGATTTTTTGATTTTTTAATTAATATTTATTTTATGTCAGTTGATTTCTTAAAGGGACAGACTCACATTCATTTTCAGGAAAGTGTCTGCCAATTCAACTAATCTAAGTAACCATGGTTTTAGCTATTCATTCCTTCAATTAAAAATGCTATTGCCGGGCCTCCCCGGTGGCGCAGCGGTTGAACACTGGGTTGCGAAGCTGCCTGCGGCCTCTGTGGCGCCGGTTCGATCCCCGGCTGCTCCCCGGCCACCGGAGGAGGGTCCCACATGGCTCGCAGACCTCTCCTGCCGCCCGCTGCTCCCCCCAGCAGTGGACTTGGGTCCTTCTGCCTGCTCTGCTCCCTGCTCTGGCTCTGGTGAATTCTCTCACCCTCCCATGCTTCTGACTGTACACAGTGCTTGTATAAATAAATAAATAAATCTTTAAAAAAAAGATATTGCCTAAGAAGAGGCTAATTCATTTCATTTTTCTCCCTGGGACAAGGCCCTTTGGACTGTAGCAGACATGCCTTATGTGAACGTCCTTGTCATCGTTTCAGACCTTTAAAAAATGTGGATTTCAGGATGATAAATAGAAAATATGCTTTCGTGATTTAAACAGGACATTTTGAAGTGAAACTGGTTTGGTTTGGATTTTTTTTTTTTTTCTGTGAGAAGTGGTGGTGAAGAATGACTACTACTGCAGTTGGTACTATAATTTCCATTCTTACTAAGTTCTACCTTAGCAAATGTCAAAATAATGAAAGGCAAATGGTGTCAAAGTGATGTTATAAAAATAGTTTTGTCCTCCTGGATCCTGTAAAAGGTTCTGGGTGATCTCAAGGGTTCCACAGACCTACTTTGGAAATGCTTTTCTCAGTGAACCAGGGGGAGTCTCCCAAGTGTTCTCTGCCTTTGTCTCTTATTGAGCTCCCAGAATCCATCTCCTTGGTTTGGATGTCCTATTTCCGAAGTTTTTCTTAGAGCTTTGCCCCTGGATGCCTGGAAGAGAACTCATTCCTCAGAGATGATGAGAGTCCTTGGTCTGAGAAGGGAGGTGGAGAGACAGGTGCTTCCCTTTGGAACTGAGACTGTTTGTGTCTGGAGGCACCAGACCCACTGATAATCTTTTTTGATTTTGTTTTTCACCTGCTTAATATGTATTTCCATCGAGGGACCTCACCTCATCTTTAAGAGAGATAATACTGGCCCCTTGATTTTACATGTGTTTAATGCATCTGACTTGATGCTCCCAAAGTGTGGCAGGCTGCGCCTCCCATGCTGTCTCTTGACATGGTCTGGGCATTGGGGGAGACTCCCTAGAAGCAGGGAGTTCCTGTGCTCCCCCAAAGAGGGAAAGTTGTACTTCCCAGAAGAGGGGAGTTCTTGCACTTCCAAAGAAGATCTGAACTAGGGAGTCCATGGCAAAGCCTGCTAAAGCTCTCCTCTTTGTTCTTGGTTAATGCAGAAGTTAATTAGTAATTGGCATATGAAAACCCAATTCGGACCTAGACATTAATTGATTTGTTGTTCTTACACCTGAATTAGTATCAAGAAAGTAAATAATGCAAAAGGTATAGCTAGGAAAGAAATGTTGGCCCTGAGAACTATGGAGAACATGCTGCCCTGAACCAGCTGTGCTTGGAAACCATAGCCTAACCTGGCGGGTACCTGTTTGTGGTAACAATACATTTCCTGGTGTAGGCAAGAGGTCAATAGTTCGCAGGCCTTGTGGAGGTTAGGATTTCTAGTTAAGAGTTAGACTTCAGTAGAACTTACATAGATTTGATAAGTTGTTTTAGACCACTTTGAAGTAATTAATATGTTAACCAAGTTAATTGAGTACTAGGAGATAGACTGATTTTAGTAATTGGATATAGAATAGGAATTTTACACCCATTTTTGTAATTGGGAAAGTTTAATTGTTGCCAAATGTTGTGCTGTCTTGTATGATTGATCATGCTAGTAATGAGCTATACCTAGGAAACTAATTGTTCTTAGGTTACCAAAGAAATGACCTACAGATGTAAGGTCAAGGGAGTCTTTACATGATCATGAGAAAATATGTATTGATTGTCTTTGCTCTGCTTCAATGCTTACGCTGATGTATTCCCACCTCTTGCCTTCAGGTATAAATAAAGAACCACTGAGACCCTCAGTAGGAGATACTTGCATGAACTAAGGTGTCTGTGTCTACCTCACTTCTGCCTCGCGCCACCTCCCCTTAGCCCTCCGAGAAAGAGAAAAAACTTTCACCGACTCCATCGTCTCCTTTCTGAGATCCCTGACACGACTTCTAGCTGGAGCTGGTCTCCAGGACCAAAGCATGAAGAGCTGTGCTATCCAACAGAAAGTTCTGGAAGAAAAAAAATGTTCTATATTTGTACTGATCTATATGGTGCCTCTAACTATTGAACACTTGAAATTTGGCTCATAAGCTGAGATATTGCATATTTTACTATATATCATTTAAAATTAAAAGCCATATATGTGGCTAGTAGCTACCATATTGACAGTACATACTGAACTTCCAGTATCTGCCCCCCAATATTTATTGTATAATAAAATTGTATAGTATATAATGTATAATAAAATTACCTTCATGTGGAAGTCATGGATTTTTCTACATGGGTTTTGTATATCCTTAAAAAATGGCATATCCAAATAGTTTAATTAACATGTATTTTAAAACAGATGGAGAGGCAAGATCCCAAATCTGAATACAAACTCTGTCTAATCCCTGAATGACCACTAAACTGTGCTGAGGTGTGGGACACTCAAGAGAAACTGCTGGAAAACCAGAAAAAACTTAGAGGGCGTTCTACCCTTGAGTGACAGACTCATCCTGGTGTAATCTGTGAATCTGCACCTAAGACTGATGACTTCCCCAACCCACACACGCTCAGAGAACCAGAAGCAAAAACCTTACTGAATTGAGGAATCAAACATCAGATTTGGTGGCTGCATTTGGGTATTTGGGTGCACCAGGAACAAGTGAATGGAAGCCAAACATCTGGATAGACACTGTCCAAAACCTTGGTTGAACATTGAATCACAAGGAAACAAGTCAAATCCTTCAAGACCCAGGATGAAAATGCAGCAAGTGGAGACTGAAGCAACAGAGCAGGGGTCCAGCTGTGCACACTCAGGGGCAGATTTTTCCTGGTTCTGGCAAATGTTCAACTTCAGTGGGAAGAAAAGGAATCCTCAGAAAAATAAAAAAGATTCCAGATGTGCTAAATCTTAGATCATTAATGTATTTGGAATTAAGTGTGATTTCTCCATGTTGCTTGTTGAATAAAGCCTGACCACTCTCTACAACGTATCAGAATACTTCTCTCTCTTTGACA